TGGAGCACTGGGTGTTATGCACAAACAATGAATCATGGAACACTTCATCTAGAACTAATGATGTAATGTATGGGGATTAACATAAGAATAAAAAAAAAAAGAAAAAAAAATTACACATTTTTAGCTGCTATCACAAACAGCTTTGGATTATTCAATTACTTCCTCAATACATGCCCAAAGATGCCACAACCTTGCATTAATTTGTGAGAATCAATGCCTACTGCCTGCCAGGCTTTGTGCTTAGTACTGGAGATGTGAAAGAGAACACAGTCTCGGGCCTCATGAAATTACCAATCTAGCTGGGAAGACAGATAAACAATTAGAAAACACTGATATATCAGTAGTGTTAGGAGAATAGGGTTAAGATGAGAGCGTGCAGCAGATACCTCTAACAGGTTTAAGAGGTATTTAAACTGTTTAAGCTGAGACCTGAACGTTGAGAAAATGATAAATGAGAACTTGGGGAAGAATGTTCAAACAAAACATTTGCAAAGAATATTTTCAGCATTTGCAGTTTTCCCAGAAACTGAAACAAGTTCATTCTAGCTGAAGTACTGGAAGAGAAGAGGAGGTGTGGTCAACAGATTATAAATCATACTGTTTATTCTAAGAGGCTTTAAGGAGTAAAATTTGTGCTCTATAGACTATTCTGGGGCAGCATGTGTGGAGGATAGCATATAGAGATGCAGTACCAGTGCCAGATAGACCAGCCTGGGGGCTGCTGGAATAATGCAGACTAAGATAATGGCAGGAGAGGTGGAGAGATACAGAAAGATGAGAAAAATTGAGGGAGTCGCACCAACAGGATTTGATGAGTGATTTGGAGAGGACTCAAAGTTCTGCAGCTTGAGAATTGCTGATATTAGGGCTATTCAGTGAGAATGGAAACCCAGGACCTAGCCAGAATACCTTCTGTCCCTGGGGGGTGGGAGTGAGGGGTGAGTAGGGTTGGTGGAGGGGAGTGGAGGTGGAGAATGAGGTCAATTCTGGATATACTGAATTTAACATGTCTACAAGATGTCCCAATGGACGTTCCCAGTAGGCAATTGCATATATAATTTATGAGCTAAGAGATTTAGGGCAAGATCTATATTTCAGAATAATAAAACATACAGTTTGTTTTCACAACCTTTAAAAACATCCATGTCCATTTGATCCACCAAAAAATGGCCTCCTGTCCACCCCCAAAATGAGAACAATTAATGTAGATAGTAAAGGACGCCTTGGGAATAAACAATGTTTTTCAGGGAACTGGTAGAGTGAGAAGAGACCTTAAAACCTTGAACAACGACATCTAAGGGACAGGCAGAGAAGCCTTCAAAAGAAGAGACTGAAAAGTGAGTTTGTTGTCCCCTTTACTGATTTCTAATCTATTCTAAGTAGAGGAAAAGGAATCCAGATGGCTAAGGGGAAAGATAGGCCTCTTCTAAACCTTTTTTAAGCTTTAGAATCTGCCTAAAAGTATCAATCTTTTCCTGCTGTTGTTGAGGCTAAACTACAGTTGTACAGAAAGGAACTGGTGAATGGACTGCTGGGCAAGGGAGGGGTGAATTAGGGCCTCATTCACCCATTTAACTAATTTTATACAAAGGGCTAATGAAGTTTTTTTTTTTTCTCTCACTCTCTTTTTTAAATCAAAGTAGAAATTGGGCGCCTGGGTGGCTCAATTGGTTAAGCGACTGCCTTCGGCTCAGGTCATGATCCCGGAGTCACAGGATCGAGTCCCGCATCGGGCTCCCTGCTCGGCAGGGAGTCTGCTTCT